TGCTTTTTGGTGTTTTGAGTTTGAGTGCATGAATCTGTTGCATTAGTTTTTGCATTTAGTATTATATAAATGCAAACCTGTATTTGAAAAAAGCAAAAAGATAAACAATATTCACCACATAAAATATTTATGCAAAACAAATAGCTGGATGTGATTAGATCAATAAGCTACGAATTTCTCAATGGGCCAAAAAGGTTAAAAAAACACATCTCATTTGTAACTTTTCTTATATTCAGAAATGCCAGCTTCATAATCTTATAAATTGACAAAAATTAAATACATATCCACTTTCTTGCAAAAGTGTTCAGATTCTTGCAGTTTTCACACTTTGAAGTAGCAATCAAAAGTTGTTATTTACTGTAAGCATCCTATTACACACATTTACCGCAAAAACAAGGAATTAAGCAATATTTAATATGAAAGAAAAATTGAAATTTCATGAATGAATATGTATTCAAATCTATTGCTGTGGCAACTCTTAATTTAGGTGCTTAAATTAATCTTAAACCACACAATTAGTTGAATAGTCCCTGTCATTGTACAAGAATAGTGATATGCATGATTTCAGAAATAAATACACCAGTGTCTGTATGGCGAGATTTTTTTCCAAAGTGTGTGTTTTTTTTTTTGTTCTTCAGGGGTGTAGATAGAGATATCTGTAGTTTTTAACCTTCTAACCTACTGTTTTGTGATTCCCTTGCCTACGTTTCTTTGGGAGCCTGGAGTCTCACATCTGGATTATAAAGTATGACCAACTCAATAGAGCTAATGGTGGATGGTCAAGGCTTCAGTACTTGTAGAGCTTGTCAGGGACAGAACAATTATTTTAATGCTTTCCCTCTCTCACTTCATACAGTATGTGTAGCCTGGAAAAGAATAACCAGCACAGGACACAAATATATATTTGGGGTGCTTTATTTCCAGGTAAGTATGGTATCTGATCTGTTTTGTTGGTTGAACTGATCTCAGATACAGTAGCTCACTTCTCATCCAACACTGCATTAGGTGATACCTTTAACACAGCACTGAGCATGCGAGAGTAATCATGAAGATCTTCCCCCTCCCTTTTCTTACAGCCATAGAAGGCTTGTAATAGTTGGGAAACACTGCACTTCTCTATGAAAGCATGTCTGAGCTAACTGAATATATCATTGGTCTGTCTAGATTTGCCACCCGTACGTAAACATACTTCCTCTAAGGCTGAACCCTTCAACAATTATAACAAAAGGTCATACTGATCGGCAGGGGTCTGTTCTATGGCTCTGATTACTTATTCATCTTCTACAGTCAACTCATCAAGAGTGACCATTTATAGTTATATCAGCACTAAAAGGCTGCACATTACCTTCTCTGGGTAAATACACATGTGAACGTTTTTGGTTCAGGACCTAGTGGAGCAATAGTGGCCATGGCTTGGTCATGTTTTCTAGCTAGTTCTTCTACTTGAGACCTCAATTAATGAAGGTTGTCACCATCATCATTCCTCATAACTACAAGACCATCAACTGTTGCACTATCATCCCTCTCGTCATCTGACATTTTGGGAACTGTTCACAAGCACAGTCTCTGTGCAAATATCCAAACTTTACATAGCTTTTGAATACCACGGTTCAGCGGATGAGTCTGAAGAGGTAAGGAGACATCTTCCACTCTGGTTGTTGGTGTAGTCTGGGGCCCGGTACATTGGTCACTGAGTCTCTGGAACCAGTCTTCTCTGTCCGTTATCAGACTCCTTGGACATCTGTCTTCACCCACTACCATATTGTATTCACTTCGCTGCCTTACTCTAAGAGTCAGATTACTATCAAAACCACCAGACTATAGGAAACCCTACTTCTGGTACCACAATTGTGTAACCTGGCAAATATTAACCAGCACAGGACACACATATATTCTTTATTTCCAGGTAAGTATGGTATCTGATCTGTTTTGTTGGTTTGGAAACAGTGAACAGATTTTCTTACCCGAGTAGATGTCTAGAAACTGGCTACTGCCTCAGTCCACTCGGTTAAAATCTGCAAAAATCCAATATTTATCTTACTCATCTTGTCTTAATCCCCTACGATACTCCTTTATACTCATTAATACTTTTGGTTTGAGACCTCATTTAGGGTGTAAATATGAAAACAACAAAGTAATACAACTTTCTCTGCAGCACTTGCAGTTTTTTCCAAACGTAACACACTGATCCTAGTCCCTACTGCACATGCTCAGAATGCTGTAATTAACTGACAGGAACTAAGAGACACCGCTCTCTAAGAGGCAACGCCATCTAGTGGATTCAGCATAACATTAGATAGCTATTAACTGCTAAGACATAGTGTATGTAACATTTTGTTCAAATAGTATGGGTGACATCACAACAGTCTTTTTTAAGTTGTATGTTGTCCATGTTGCCTTCTGTTCTGTATTTCCCCATTTTCCTAGAACATATTGTTACCTTCTGAAAATTAAATACACAAAAATTTGAGCAGCTAATAAATATTTGTATTTAGTATGTAAAATATCCAAAAAAATATATATAGATTAAACAGCTGGTGTAGAGATTATTTTGCAAAGAGGATAATTTTCTATAATTATCCCAAGAACACTTTCATTTACTGTGTACCCAACAGTCCCAATTTGCTTATTGGGTCTAAATGATTTGTTTGAGCTAATTTTGTTAATGGATTTTCTACACCTGAATAAAATATCCCAAATATGTTAATTACAGTAATTATTACACATCCTATTGCAACACAATGAAGGTTTCTCCTATAAAGATGGTTTGTTTCACATATACATTCATTAATATTCATTAGTATTGTTACAGCTTTACTGTAGGTGACTATGAAATGTCTCTTAGATTTTAGATAATGGTTGTGACACTTGGAAAAGTAAACACTTCTTAGCTTCAAAGCAGAGAGGAATTTTGTCGATATCTGGGGGCTCCCTTGAGCAGAAACAATTTTAAAGTTTACCTTAGTACACCTAGGTACTTTGTGGGTTAATAATTGTCAAAGAGCAGTACAGAAGAACACAATATTAGATTGCACAAGGATCACAAAGGAGAAGAAAAAAGAAGTAGAGAAGAGAGAGGAGAGACAAGTCTGGAATAGTTGGGACTTGAAGTTTGTTCCAGGAAGAACCCCAACTTCACGATCTTCCAAACCAAACCTGACTGGAGCTACAGTAAGTGTTTGAACCTTGATATAGAGAGCGTGGTATTCTGTGTTTTTGGGAAATTTGGGTTTCTTGGGTAAAAAATACCTCAGTTAGAAATGTCTTTTCTGTTAAGGAGCTGGTTTTGACTCCTAAATGTGTTGTTTAGGACCCTATGCAGACGGTATAATCTGAAAGTGAGTGGAGTAGGACATCAGAGGAATAGGACAGGATGACAGACAGGGGGGCATGGCACAGGCAAACACATCCAACACAGTCCAAAGAGGGAAACCAGGGCGCAGTCGATAATCCAAAACCGGGAGGTCCATCCAAAACGCAGACAATTAAAATCTCCGGGAAGGGGGAACATGATCAGGAACATGGAGGTTAAAAGGATAATGAGGCCAGGAACTCCGAGCCCCAGACCCAGATGGTCAGAACGTTGGGTCAGTCCTGAACCCCCTAGTAGGCGGGCTTCCGGGTGTCCGTCTTCCAGATGCTGAGTCGAAGACACTAGGCTTTTAAACCAGAACACAAACGAGACACACTGGGAAATTATGGAACCTAATCATGACAGAAAAGTGTAGGAGCGCTCTCTAGAGGAGGGATGTGGGATGTAACATTTCCTGCTTAGGCTGCATTTTTATGGATAAGGATATAGACTCCTATTTATTTTGTGGCATCTGTGGTGCTGTGAGGGACATTTAACTGCAGGTTGCACTGTATTTAGTTAGAAGGCAGGTTATCTTATAGGTGTCTGCTGTAGGAATTAAAAGTTTAATGCTGAGTAACAGTCTGGAGTTTTCTGGGTGACCAGAATGTTAGGCCTCTGAAATGCCTAGTTTATAAATAATGTACATAGAGTAATGTGTGTGTTTTATGTTTTGTTGTTTGTTTAGTAGTTGGTGTCATGTCATTATAATAAATATTTGTTTAACCAAGCGTGCCTGGATTATTGCTTCTCTCGACAAAGCTGTGCCAGAGAACAAAGAATTCAAATGCCTCTAATTATACCTACTACTCGGGCATATTCTGGAAAAAGCACTTTCAAGTTGGAAGTTACAAACATTTGTTTTACTAATTGACTAAACTTCTCAGTCAAATTCTCATTTTCACCATTTTCTTAGCCCCCATTTATAATAGTAAACCACTGTAAAATATACTGTAACTGTGTATCTAAGTTAAATTGAGTTATTACTCACAGCTTCTGTTGGATTGAACAATCCAATTATGCCTCCAATAATGAATTTATATGTTCCTCAGTACTAAATGTTTTAATCTTCCCTGGCAAAATCATGTAATATGAAAAGCAGCTCATTCACGTCCTGCTTAAGAGTGTTTTGAATACTTGTCAAAATATTAAATTATAGTAGAAGGCAGAAATATTTATTTAAGAGAAGTAAATTTTGTTCTGTTGTTGTCTTGGTTCTGTTATTCAAGTGAATGAGAAACAAAATACTGTACTGCATGTAATTCCTAATTAAAATTCAGGAATTTTGTAAGTTCATAACAGGATTAAGATACTATTAAAATGAATACATCAATGAATGAGTGACTTTCTGTGCATTCTTATTTATTCAGCTTTAATATTTACCATGTGAGTCTACAGCTATAATGCCTGGATAATTCTTAAGCACCAAATTAAACACCTCACATCAGTCTTTGTTATTATTTGCTGAATGGTGATCACTTGACGTCTGCTCCAGGGAGAAAAAGACTGTTGAGACACATGATGCTAAACAGAAGAAAACAACAAAACAAAAGGCACACACAATTACTCCAGAAACAGCTGCCAGCAGTAATAAGTAACTCTTGATGACAAGAAGTGCCTTCAGTTAAATCCAAAGTTCATGTTGGAACCTACTGGACCCTGTTGTGGTTGTGAGCTAGAACGTTAAAAGTGATTCCTAGGCTAGTACTGTATTTACTGTAGATCTCGAAATTAAATACTGTTTCTTATATATTTAAAGGATGCATTCACCACAAATCCAAGGAGAGGAAATTGTAATGAGAAATATTGGCATGATTAACACAGCATTTGAGGTATGTTTAATATTTTTATATAATCTGTGTTATTTTTTAGATTGCATTTACACTATATTTGAGTGGATGGTTGATTTTGCAATATTTCTTGGGTGCAATCAATCTTTATTTTTGCACAACACAATACTAAAGGTGGACTTTTGACTTTTTTTTGACACACTAACCCTGCATGTCAAACTGGCAATGATTCCAGTTACATTTGTTTTGATATTGTAGAGATATTAAAAAAATGTCAAATGAATTCCTAACTAACGATAAGCTAAGTTTTAGCTATTCAGAAATTTCATAAGTTCATGAAAACAAAGTAGTGTTTATGTTTAATAAATTAGAAAGATGTGCTATTTATGTATGTTAAATTTGTAAATGTTTAGAAACTGCATAACATCTATGAAATTAAAAGGCATAGTAAACTAATTTTGACACCATGCAATCAGTTTTAAAAGGAAGTGTCACAAGATTCGTATGAGAACTTTGTACGATATCCATTATTTTTGTGTGACCCATTTGTTATTTAAGACTAGCATCCACCAAGTAAATGAATGGAATGGACTGTTAAAGCCTTTAGGATTTTGAAAATTTTGAAAATGACTATGGAATGTGATCATTCTAATAAAAAACATGCAATGTGGTAATATTTTAACCAACATTTTAAAAACTCCAATTAACTCTCTTGTGTCAGTTATTAACATGCTTATATTTGAAGAGGAAATTAAAAATGTTATGCATTCTTAACAGTTATTATGTATACTAACAGTAGTTATATATAAATCTTAAAGTCCATATCTAATGTTACTTGTGTTAACTGTGCAGAATGAGAAAGATTCCACTTGAGAATGGTAAGGAGTTAGCAATTCATTCTTATCATACTATCACTATCATTCTGTCATATGAACTTAAAGACTTAATGAACTTAATCAGATAATTTAGACATCAAAAATAAAATTAGAGAATGTGAGCAAAACTACAGATCAAAACATCATGAAAGGTTTTAGTGTATATACTGTAGATGTTCAGTACAGTTACAAAATGTCAATAATGCAAGAAATATCAATAATGTCTTGCATTTGTTGAGCAGAGTTAGAAATTTCTCAGAAGTTGAAATACAGGAGAAATGAGGTAGGTCATATTATGAAAACCCTGCAGAATTAAACAAGGATGCCAGGGTTAACAAGCCTACTCGTACTAAAAGAGATTCTTACTAAAATCAGACTAAAGTGTTATTTAGCCCGATTTCGTCGGATCTCAGAAACGAAGTGTGGCAACTGCTGACACACACTCCACTCTTATGCCAACACTGCCAGCAGGTCACTATAGTTTTCATGCCTTAAGTGCTCTGATCCTACCATATGTTTCAGATTTCCTCCAGGAAACTAGCTGTTTCTCATTGTTTCCTTTCTTTTGGAAGCCTGCAGGGTCCTTTTCCTTCTACATTTCACTTCAATTGTTTGTACTTCCACAAGTCACCTAACCTTTTCACTATTCTTTGTATCAGTAAGTCACTAACAGAGCCAGTTTCCTAGTCTGCAGACTGTTGCAACGGAATACCTTGTTCTCTTATTAGCTCTCAAAGACAGGCCACCTTAAATGTAGCCGATAGCAACTAAGCAATCATCATTACTCAAGTGGGCCATTATTGTATCTTTCACTGTTTTTGTCTTAATTACAAACATCTTTTTGAGTGGCTATTTATACTCTTAATGGGTTCATTTGGGAAATTTAAACTTAATTGAAATACAAGACACTGACATTTATTTAATACCTGGTATTTTTCTTAAATCACATGACTTGAGCTTGGTGTTTTGTTGAAACACTATTCAAACAAACCAATATATTCACTTTTTGAAATATATATTGAAAAGAAACTAAAGAAAACAATTTAATTGTAATTATATAAACAGGTATTTTGTTAAATCATTTGGTAAACAAGTGAAAAAATCCTCCAGCTCTCAAGGACTGGAGTTGGCCACATTTAACGGAAACAGGAGGTTTAGTGTGATCTATAAAAATTCACTGGATTGGAGCTCTCCAGGATCAATATCCCTGGATCAGGATCCCTGATTTTTGCATGTATCTGGCACGTACAGTATATTTTTTTACTAATAAGACCAACCATTTTCTAAACCTTTATCCAATGATGGATATTCAGGGATGGAATAATAAGTGTTAAAAGTAGATATTTGTAAAGAACCAATAAAGAATGACACCAATAATCACAAAAAAGTAACTATTGAGTTGCTTAAAATACACATAATTAAGGTTCTTTATCCAGCAGGCCTTCATGTATGTTGTGTTAGGCACAGTCTTGTAGCTGTTGTTTACAAAGTTCATCACAATGTAATAGTTATTCAGTGGAAAAAAATAAAGATGAAACCTACAATTGTAAAGCAGTTTATGCAATCTTCCACACCAAGTACAAAACAAAAATAATAAAATAAAAAGTGATTCACCATCAGTAGGTCCTGGCATTAAAACCACAGTGTGTCATACAAATCTTAATCATATAAACAGTTTCTGCATAATACATTAATCAGAAAAAAATCTTTCTTGCATGCTTTGGTGGGTTTGAACATACAGTGTTATTTAATTCTATTTCAAAATCCTTAAGTATGAAAATGATAAAAGATAGTTACAAAACTGAGATTTTTTTTCTCAAACTTACAACACAGCATAAATTGTGTTCAGAAACAGACTTAAGAATCAATCTTTAAAATCAAATCAGGTACATTTGCATTTTGCTCTGGAAATATCAGGTTCATTCTATCTAATCATGTAGAACAAGACAGTAGATGGCAGCATTGATTCACAAAACAGTGGTACAGTTTCAACAGATCAACAGATCTTTCAAATGAATTTGAATCCAAAAGAATCAAAATGAAAAAATATTTGTTACACTTCCCAGCTGAATTCCATTTTAATTTATTCATGTGAAATTTAGGTTTTGCCTCTAGACTATGAGCCATGAATATTCTGCAAAACAGCATCACTTGCATGTCTGATTGGGCACCTTTAAAAACACACAGGAGCTGATGCATAACTGTTTTAAAACATTTAATTGCAGTGAGAATTATTTTACATGTGACCAAACACAAACTGCTGGTTCAATTAGGAATTTAGATTATGTTATGGTAGCAATAGTCAAAATATTCCGATAATATGTTCACATTCATTCATCCATTTTCAGTAACCACCTGCTACATAAGATGAGAACCTCACAGGTACTGTACATAAGGTGGTTTAAGGCAGTGCTACACTCAGGACAGGATGCCAGTCCAACACAGATTATACACTGGTTCTTAATTTAGTATAAAAAGGCACATTTATAAATGATCGAATCATTCATTTTGCCACTAATGGAACCATCATGAAAGGCTGACACAGTTATGACAAAATCCATAACATGCTGAAATTAAAACCTGAGTGGGCTGACACAACTGGGGTAAAGCATCTCACCCATGGGTACAAGACCAGTGTCTGTAGCAGGTATCTGAACCTGCAAACCGTCCAAAGACTTACCTGCTAAACTGTTGTACAGTTCTTCTGTATTTTTCACTTTAATATTGAACACTTTTGCATTTCTAAATTTTAAATTTCAGAGAGTTTTTGTTTAGATAGTGACCAGGATAAACAGTATAACTTGTTTCAGTTTTTGACATTTTCTTTATTTTTTTGGTATTGTATACTGCTAACAATGTATCTGAAAAAAACAACTGAATTGTTACAAAAGGAATATATACTGTACTGAACAATAGCACTGTCAAAAATACTGTAATACTGTCAAAAATCGGTATAATTTGCAGTGTCTATTTCTGTCATCATAATTAATTGATAATGTATGATTAATCATAATACACTTGAGTGACTTTGGGTATTGTGTAAGTCCTAAATGATGAGTTTGGAGACTGAGTCACCAGAGGTAGACTTAGCAGTGAAGCCAAATTCAACTCTAGGGATGGAGCAGGTTTTGTGTTCCAACCTGATGGTGTGGTGTTAATCTATAGATAGATAAGACTTTATTGATCCCAAAGGGAAATTGATGGTATAGAATGATATGCTAATTGTTGTGTTGATTGGGAGGACTGTGTTGGTCTGAACAAGTGTGTCTAGCTGTCGCAGAACTTCACCTGTACAGTAGTAATTGATGACTGCCTGACTCAACATTACTGGTTTGATCAAGTCTTTTGATCTTACTTGCTGCCATTCTTTTGAATTCATCCTGATGTGACCACATTTTATCATAACAACGTTTTGTCATGCTACTCATGTAATAACCGCTTTATGGATTCTTAGAAGACTCCCTGTGAAATGTTTATCTACATAATTAATTTAACCACCATCCCCTCTGGACGTTTTTTGCATTTTGTTGTTTCCGTACTTCAGAGTTCTGTGCATTCTTATTACGATTTTTTCCCTCTTGTATGTCATACTTCACATTTAAATATTTTTATTAGGAAAAACACTATACATTAAAAATGCAAAACTGAAATTTCATAACTCATAACACACCTTCCTGAATTAGTCCTTGCTGGAAGCATATTTGGCAGCAATTACAACTACTGTACAACTATTCTGTTGGAACAGGTATCACCCATAACTACTACTTATACTACCACCTCAATTAATAATAATAAAAATAATATCTTACCTACTAATGCAATGTGTGGGCCTGCGTTTTGGAATCAAGGTTAGCAAAAGGCTAGCAGCTGCTGTCTGAGGTAACTGCGATATTCCATTAGGCATTTCATGTGCCTATTTAAGATTCCTTTTTTGTTGCAGTGAATTCTGCCAGTGTTGAAAAGCACTGGAGGAAATTTTGTTGGACACAGTTTCACAATTTTGTTGGTCATAGTTTCAACTTTTGTTTTGCATGCTGAACACTGTGATGGCGTCACCCTGACAGCCCTGTCAGTACAAATTGCCACATAGAATTTCTGGCCAATTCCATTGGCTTTTGTGAAAATGGGAATTCAATTAAAAATATGTTCCCCTTGTTTAAGGGTTGG